CCGCGTCCAACCGCAGCGCCCCCACAAAAAACGACCACGCGAGGACCGTGAAGCGGGCGCGGCGGAACCGATGCCAAGGATTCCTCGGCGCGATGTGTGCGCAGAGTGCCCGCGCCGCCCCTCAACCCGTCGCCACCGAGCGCACACCCCAGGCGACCACGTTGGCAGAGTTCGCGGCAGGGGCAGGGCAGGAGGCACGCAAAACCACGCCGTGGTTCATGAACAGCTTGTGTTTGAGGGGGCGCCGGAACGCTGCTTCCCCGCGCGGCCCGACAATCCAAATTCGGTCTTGGGGGTTGGGGGCGCCCGGGCTCTTTTTTAGTAAACAACCGGCCCGGCTCCTTTGTGGCCTGCTCGGCCCCCAGCCCCGAACCGTTTCCCCGCCCGTGGCGGCAATACGTGTGTGGACGGCGTCGCTCGTCCCGTTGGGTGGAGGGGGCGCCCTTTTTTTTATTGTGTTTCTCCTTTTTTTTCTAATTTTGATTCTTTTGCCTCGGCCCTATACACCCCGTTGGCAACGGCATAACATGCCACGGAAACCGCAGATCGTGGTTTTTCCACCCTCCTCACGTCTTTGAGGAGGAAACGGGTCCGGCAAGAGGGCCGGGGCCCAACTTCGGCAGCCCTTCCCACGAAGGGGAAGCCGCCACCGCCGCAATCACCCCCGAGGGGCGCTGGCGCGCCGCACGTGCAACGGATGAATGGCAACACTTGGCGAAGAAAAAAGTTGGCATACGGTTTCTAAAGTGCCGTTTTCCTTATCTGCGGGAGTGTGCCGAGTCTTCGGGTGAGGCTTTGGGCGCCGTGCCAAGAAAAAACAGCCCGCCGGGCCCCGCACGAACCGCTGTAAAAAAGAGGATTCTTTTGCTTTGCGGAACGGCGTTCGGCGCGTGGTTTGTTTTCTCTTTTTTGGTGTGTGTGTGTGTGTGTGTGTGTGGGCGGCCCGCCGCCCACCCGCCCCGAGGCGTGGCGAGGGTTCCTTCCAAGACCTGAAAAAGGCCCGTTACCTTTCAAACAAACAACCCTCCACGCTCTGCGGGAGGCCCGGCGCCTTTGCCGCGCATGAGCGCCCATGCCCCAAGGCGTTGTGTTGGAGTACCGGCGCCGAAATTTACTTCGCTTTTTCCGTCTCGTGGTGTTGGCGGCGCGGCGCGCCGCCAGTTTCTTTTCCCCTTAGCGGGCAGGAAAACGATAGGAAAGCCGCCGGTTCTTCGCGGCAGGAGGGCGCTTCGCCGCGGCGCGAGCTTGTTTTCTTTCTTCCACTTGGGTTGCTCCATGCGGGCCGGCGGGAAAGGATCAACTTGGCGATCGCCGTTTTTCTTTATTATTCATTTATTTTTGAGGCGGCGGCGAAGACAGGTGACCGCCGTCGTTTCTCCGCCGCCGTCGGGCCTGGCGAGGGCCTGCTTTGGGCCGTCCGCGTCTGACCGCTCGTGGGTGGTCTGTTCATCTTTCCCCGCATGGCGCCTGCGACGCGCGTCGCGGGGACTGCGCGGCGGCGGTTTTTCCACCACGTGCGTGCATTGGCGGCGGCGGCGCCTCGTCGGGGCACGCCGCATGTGGGAGCTACGCGGAATGGGCAGAATTAGAAGAAAACTGCCCCCTGCCTCCTTGGATTTTGAAAACAAACGCAAAGAGAGAAGCACCCCCGCACCACTTCAAGAAGAAAGACGGGATGAACCCACGCCATCTCATTGCCGAAGCCGGTAAACGACCTCCGCGGCAAGTTTGAGGCGGCCTTGCTGAGTGAACTGTGAGGCTGCGACGCAGCGGGAGGGGAAAAAAATATATAAATAGATCTCGTTTTCAAACAACTCGGCCTGCCCACATAAGGCGCACACTCAAAACAGTTCAACCGATACATGTAGGCGCATGCTGTGTGGCGGTCCAAATTCACGTCCCACACAACATCGCACCATAGTCAAGGGCTTTTTTTTTTGTGCCTGCCCTGTGAGCCATTCTGTTTCTCTCAGTGTGGCAGATGAGGGAAATCAAGCACCCCGACAAAAAAAAAAAAAGCAGGATATATATATATATATATTTATATACATGTATTCAATGTTGGCCGCGAAATCGCCCCCAAAAATGCCAGGAGCAGGGAAAAAAAATATTCCACAGCGAAACTGCGATTGGGAAGTGCATGCCCACACATAAAAAGCAAACACAACAACAACAACAACAGTGAAATAACCCAAATTCACTCCTTTTTTCTTCGGTAGGAGGGAGAGAAGGTTAGGGTGGGGGTGGGGAAAACAAACGCAATCACGAACGCGCAGGAAAAAAAAAAGAGATATCGTCCTGTTGGGGGGCCTTTACGTAGATTTGGGGGGAAATCGAACTTCACTGAAGTGTGAGCTGCTTGGATCCAGGAGTGCATTCTTCGCATCCTTCAGATTCCCTGCCCCAGCCTCTCGCTGCGGCGGCCGCGAACGGCCTTTCAGGTTAGCGGCAATCAAATCCAACATGCGGTTCAAATCGGCTTCCTTCTCCACCCGCTGAACTGCGCTTTTCTTCTTCCAACGATCCAGCCACCTTTCCCACAACACAATCACGTACGAAGCCATCGCCGACCCTCTGCACACATGACTCTTCAGCAGATGCCTCGCACGCAAGTTTGTTGCAATCCTCTCGAAGAGATGATGCCGCTTTCTCCGATTTCTCTGCTCCTCTTCAGCTCTTAGCTGCCGAACGGCCGCCAACATCCAAGGCGCCATGCGTTGACCATTCTGAAGAGATTTAGCAGCTTTCGCATAAGGTAATATCTCGTTTCTAAAGGCATTTTCAAAGAACGGTTTTCGCATTTGAGCAGCCGCGGCACGAACGGTGCCTTGAAACTGCATCCGCGCCTCCGCAAGTGCAGCCTTAAAGTCGTAGCGATACACCGCCGGAGCCATATTCTCAACGCCTCCTGCGTGCTCACGGGGCTGGAGACTCCGCAGGTAGGCCAGAATATTTCCCTCAAACCGCTTCGGCGGCGGAAGAGTCTCCTGGCCCAAACCAGCATACCCTCTCAAACCGGCTTGGCCAAGAGGAGTTGAAAAATTGACAATGTTAACCGGAAGCAGACGAGGGCCCCGGGGTGGCATGGGGGCCTGACCTTCCTTTCCGTACGGGAATGCTGCGGAGGGAGGCGATGCCCAGGGGTCCGGCCCCGTAGCTTTTTCATATTCCCCGCGGAAACCTCCATCTCCCCCCGCCATCGGATGCAACCAGTCCCTGAGCTGGGCCAGAGGTGGCTCGTAACCGGTGCTTGTTGGGGTTCCTGCAATCTCTTTTTCCTCCTCCACCCCTCCGCCGCGTGGTGGGGGGCGTAGCGGCGTCACCACGGGCCAAAGCCCACCAGTTGGCTCTTCAAACGTGAAATCGTTGCTGTTGGAAGGAGGCCTGGGCAAACAACTACTTGCCGTCTTTCCTGCAGAAGGGGTGGCGGCATCCTTGAGCAGTGCTGCAACTCTGCGCGGTGAACTGGGGTTCGGCAGCGGCGGCGGCTGACTTGGCGGCCAGGGAGGCCTAGCCCCTTGTTGCGCCTCCCATTTTTGCCCGCGCTTCTCATTTCCCTTTACCAGCGCCCCGGCGATACGCTCCCGCGAGGTCTTTAGAATGGCGTCGTAGAACTGATTTTGCGCCCATTCCTCATCCGTCAAGGCAGACGAGGGTCCTGGATGCCGCTGGAGGACTATGCCTTGCTGCTCAAGTCGGTCAAACACACGCTGCTCCACCATGTCCTTTATGACGTCTTCTGCCATTTCAGACACAAAGGCCTGACTTTCAGCCTCGACGCCATGCTCCAACTGTTCATTACGTCCGCGCAACACAGTAAGGCATTCTTTTAGCACGAGGAAAAATTCATCCATCTCAGTGCGCAAGCCTTTGTGTTTATCCCGCACTGCCCCCATCTCTACCTTTAGAGCATGAAGGGCCTCTTGTTGTCCCCCCACCGCCACCACCCTTCTACTACGTCGAGGCTCTTGCTCCTTTGATGCATCCTTCTTCTCTTGCCGCCTGTGGCGACTGACTTTGCTGGCTGAACTCGCGCCCACTGTCGAACCTATATCGGGCCCCTCAACGGCTTTCACCTTGGTGCTATTAGAAACTGGTCTCTTAGGAGACAGGGCCGCATCCTTCGTTTTTGCTTTCTGCACCGACGACCGCCCCTCCATTGTTGAACGGCGGGACACGAGGTGTTTTTCTTGCCGCGACTCGTTAGAGATGCTTCCCGCGGACTCGCTGCGTTGACTACCAACTCCGTGAGACTGCGAGGGGTTGCTTATGGAAGCCCGGACGAGTGACCACGACGGACGCACATCTGCATTGTGCACCTTCCTCTTCTCCAGCTTCGCGGCACGCTCAGACTTGCGCGAGGTACGCCGTCTTCCCTTCACTTCCTTCTTCCGCTTAATCGAGGTCGGCAGCGAGGCCCTGCTCTCCCCCTCTGAGCCTACTGTGCCCTCACCACTTGCGCTCTCGCGTGCTGTGCGACATTCCGAACTCACCGTGCTCACGTTGCCTTCACTCTGCGGCAAAGATTCGGTTTCCGAAGTGGCCGTGTACCTTCGGCTAAAGCTCCGCATCGATTCCCGTCTGTGGCTTTCAATGTTTTCGGTAGAAAGTTGAAAGTGAATGCTGCTCCCAAACGGTCTCGAAGCCTGACTGCCAAATCTCGCCAAACGTGCCGCACTCAAGTCAACAGACTCCTTCCTTGGGTCAGAACTGACGGCGCGTGCCGCGTAGGCGTCACTGTCAAGAAGAGCCATGGTGTTGGCTGCCTCCGCCTCCAATCGGCGTTGCCACATCATACGCTCCTTGTGAAGCCGCATCAGCACGCTAGTAACGGGCGCCTGTTGTTGGATGTATCGCTTTCTCGCGTCAGTTTCGCGAAGCTGTTCCGCGTCTGTGGTGCCGCCCGCAGAGAACGACGGCGCGTCACTGGGCCGCCGGGCACCGGCAGTCGTCTTCGCATGATCATAATGCACCACCGAATCACCTGCGTGTGCCGCTTCGGAGGCTTTTTCTTCCTTCCCACGCGGCGGTGAAGGCCCAGTGGCGGCGACCGCTTCCACGTCCTGACCTTGCGGATTGACTTGGGACTGTGAAACGAATGAGGCTCCATCGCGAGACTCCTTTTGCCTGCCATCATAGACGGAGGAGCCGGCCCTGCACTCCCTCTGCTGTCCGCCAGCCGCTTGCTCTGACTCTCGACTACGCGCCACCGCGGACGCCCTGGAGTCAGCCCCGCCCAAGAACTCCTTTGCCTCCAACGCAGTGCGTAGTCGCGTGTTCTCTCGCTCGATGGCTTTATTGACCTCAATGAGTACGTTCATGTCGTCATAGATGCTTTGCCGTTGCTGCATGGAGGCCTCATCCGCAGCCTCGCGCTCGCGCTGCCGCTGGGAATTATTCAGCTGCTTCACAAGGAAGACTCGCTTCACCTTCTTGATTTCCCTGTCCTTCATCCGCAGCATATCCATGAGCCCCGCCAGCTCCTCCTGCGTGGCTGCCAGAGTCGTCTCCAGTGACGCAATGCGGTCCGCCTGCTGCGCCCGTATGTCGCTCAGAATATCAATGCGCTCGCTGAGGGCGTCCTCCTTCGTGTTACCGGCGAACGCGTTTTGGCTGCGGCTGTACACAAACTTCTTCAACGTCTGCTCAATTCTCTCGTAGGTGTCCCAGTCCCCAAAGCGCGCGACGTCGGAGGGGTTTTCACTGAAAAGCACCCGAGAAATCTTCTTCCAGTTGCCATCCGGTATTTCCGAGCCCATCTCCCGCTTCCGCCTGGCGATTTCCTTCTGCTGGGCGTTTACCTCCTCGTAGTTGGCGTAGATTTCCTCCAGTAAGTTCCACCGCTGCTCCTCGGTGGGCAGGTGGCGGACCTCCATTTTGCCTGTGACCGAAGACCACATCGCGACTGCCGCCTCCCCAGCCGTCGCCGCCACTCTTGTTACCTCCAAGTGGGGGGAGAGAAGGGCAGGAAGCAAGAAAGCAAACGAGCAGAGTTACTGGCACCAAGCGAATACAAGAAAACATATGGGCCACATGCACACATGGCATGCGTGTCCGTGTGTAGGTGAGAGAGAGAGAGAGAGCGAGAGGGAGAACAAGAATGAGAATCGGAAGTTGATACAGCGAGGTGCAGGTATGTTGGCTGTGGTTGTGATTCTCGACTTGCCCCGCGCCCTTCGCAAGAACTAATCCTTGAGGGACTTCATGGCAACGTCGGGAAAGACGTCGGTGAAGGAGACATCCAGCACGAGATGGAGGTGGTGTGAGGGGTGGTTGCCGCACGGCAGCAGCTGCTGTTCGTTGATGTGCGTCTCCTCCGGGACATCCAGCACCTGGTGGAGCGCCAGCGTCTGGGGGTCGTAGAAGACGAAGTCCTGCGTGCGATAAATGACGCCCCGCGCCTTCAGAGTTTGCTTCTGCACCGCCAGGGCGTCCTGCCGCTGCTCTTCCCCCGCCGCTGTCCCCGCCTCAGTTTCCGCTTCCGCCGTTTGCCTCGGCTCACGTTCCTCCGCCTGCGCCACGGCGGTCTCAGCGCCCGCCGCCACCTCCACCCCCGCGTCGTCGGCTGACGTCACCGTCCTGCTGCTGCTGCTTCTAGGCTTCCGCGAATATTTGGCCACCTCGCGCTGCGCCCGCTTTGCGGCGCTGGTGCCCTCGAAGCACTCACGGTTGCTGGCGTAGTACTTCTGGTACCTCGCGGAGGCCTGCGCGTCCTCGTGAAACCACGTCGTCCAGCGAGGCCCCCCTACGACGTCGTGCGTAGAGAAGAAGCGCTCCCGCATCAGCTGCACGCAGGCCTCCTCGTCGTGGATGTTGTTGAAGTCGCCACAAATCACGTTAGTCATGTGTGCGCGGTCGATGTCGTTGCGATTGAGGGCATCAAGCACTTGCAGTGTTTGGCGTGCTTCGTGCAGGCGAATTTGTGCCGCCTCCTCCGACTCCCCAGCTGTGTACTGGACGCAGATGACGTTCAACGTCATGTTGGTGATCTTGTCACGCATCGCAACGAAGTGGGCAAAGTGAAGGTGCTGCACCAGATCCTTTCCAGGCATGAGAATGGGGACAAAGCGTCCCTTGTGAAACAACACCACATTTCCAATATCTTCCGCCGCGGCAATCTTGCCCTTGTGTCGCGGCAGCAGCGGGTCGTCGCCCTGGCGCAGGGCCCGCACCTTGTAGCCACGGCTCGACTGGTACAGTGTGCCATAGCCGCAGTAGCGGATATACCTCCAGAGGACGTCATTAAAAAACAACCGGTTTACCTCCTGCAGACAAACAATGTCTGGGTCGTAGTACCTTATCTCGTTTACCAAGTAGGCTCGACGAAATTCCGGCTGCAGAAAGGGCGGCAGCTCCTTATCGAGGGAGGGGTCATACGGGTAATACGCATCCGGATCAGCCCCAGGCCTCGTGAAGCCTGGCACACGTGCCTGCACACCATGCACGGGTGTCGTGGCGGCTTCTTCCGCCGTTCCTCCCGGGCTCCACGCGTCGGCCATCATGTTAAACTGCATGAGCCGAAACCAGTCTCGGCGGGACGCAGCCGTTGAAAGACGCGAGAGCGGCGCCTTCACCCAATTCCGCGGAAGTGGCGGCTTGTAGGCGGTTTTTTCCTCGCCGGGGTCCATGTCCACCAGGGCTGCTATTCGTCGCCGCACCTCCGCCGTCTCGCTCAGCACGTTCTCCGCCAAGCAGGGCTGAATCATGCTTCGCACCCCACCCCGTAGGCCCTGTACGGGACCACCCGTGACCGCGGGCCCAGTGTCAAGGCGGAAGGCACTGCGCCGCAACATCGCTCCCTGCCCCCGCCCCAAACGGCGCCCCTGTTCCTAAGAGCATATATATATATATATATATATGTACATATATAAACAGGTATTCATAGTGGGAGATGGAAGGAGAAAGAAAAAAAGTAAAATAAATATCAGAAACAGCAACTCCAAAAGAGAGGGCCCGCCTTGCAACTATATGCATACTCCATGGGAAGGGTTTGTTGGGTGGCGTGCATAGTGAGGGGGTCCTATTTATCACCGGTTTTCCCTCCCACCCTTTTTTTCTCATTCTTCTTTGAACGCCGAGACCCACGCGGTGAAAAATAAAGTACAGAGATGCGAGAACTGCGGCAAATAGGAACCGCAGGTAAATCTAGTAAAAAAAGAAGGGAAACGAGTATGAATCTAGTCTATTGGGTGTCTTTGTGGATTGCTGATATGTCTGTTGTGCGTGCATTTCTAATCGGGCCTCTCGATCCCATTTTCTTTTCTTCTGTTCATAAATATATATATATATATATATATATATACATATATATACATATATATATATATATATATATTTGTCGTCTTCAACATCTTTCACTTTCTCTTTTTTTTTGTTTTGTTTTCGTTTTGTGCCTGTATTTTTGTCTTGTCTGTTTCCACTTCTACTGCCCGCTCTGCTCGAGTTGGCGCGAGAGCGCCTCCTCCTCGTCCAGCATCCCCCGCAGCCGCAGCATCTCCCCCTGAAAGTGGTGGATGGCCTGCAGCTTGCCGCCGAGGAGGCTCAGCACCTTCGTGACGTATGTCTCAATGTTCGAGTTTGGCATCTCCACCGACATGATCTGCGCGAACTCCTCCTTGATAATTCCCATGTCCTCGTCGAGGTAGCGGCGGTGGGCCTGCACACACACCTGCTCCTGCCTGACGATCTCGTCCACGACCTTGTCGTAGCGGACCCCGAGGTCCAGGTCCACGCTCTTCCGCGCCGGCAGCTCCGCCGCCGCCGCCGCCGCCGCCTCTGCGTCATCCTCTGCCTGCAGCGGCTGCGGCTTGTCCTCGGCCTCGCGGCCGCGCTTGTGACCAATCTCGCTGTGGGTGGCGTCTCCCGCCTTGGCGGCCAAAACGCCACTCGGACGCATCATGACGGAGCGTCGTCCCCCCGCACTCTTCCTCTTCGCCGGTGGCTTGCCGCCGCCGCCTTTGCCGTCGTGTCTGGTGTTGGGGAGGTTCACCAAACCCAGCGGCGGCGCGGAGAGGCGACCGAAGGGGAGCGCCCGTGCCGCGGGCACCGACGACCTTCGCTCAAAGAGAAACTCGCACTGCTCATTCTCCCCGAGCGGCCGCCGCTCCCCGACGCTCTTCTTCAGCTCCTTCACGCGGTCGGCGTAGCGCAGCGTGTTTAGTGTGTGCTCGCAGCTGTTGCTCGACGGCGACACCGCGCCAATCATGACGGTGCGACAGTGGCCTACAAACGAGTCTCGAAGCACCTCCGTCAGCTTCGACCCGCGGAAGGGGACGTGCCGGCGGTTGAGGTCAAGCGAGCGGATGCACTCCTTCAGCGCCAGCAGGCTCTTGTTGATTTGCGCCCCCTCGATGCGGGTCTGGCGGTCGCAGTCAAGCGTGTCGGCGCCCCGCTCACTCCCGGCGAGGTCAATAAAGGTAAACTTGCCAAACAGCTTCTTGTCCCCGCGTCCGCGGACTTTGATCTCAAGAATGGCGTGCGAGCGGGAACTCGTGTCGTTGGCGCCTGTCGTGCCGCTGCTGCGGACGCGGTTTCCCTCCTCAATGAGGCGCATGATGCTACGCACATCCGCCTGAAGGTGCTCCGTCAGGCCGCAGATGTTCACATTCTGCTTGCCGTCCTCCAGACAGCGCAGCGACTGACGCCCGTTCAGCAGGTCGTACAGCCGACCACTGTAAATCTCGTAGAATGACACGTAAAGGTCTCGGTCACTATCAATGCGGGCAAACATCTCCTCCGCGGCGAGGGCGTAAATGCCGGTCTCCGTTCCATTCCCCAGCATCGTGTGTGTTTTTCCGCTGCCGGTCTGCCCGTACGCAAAGCACGTGGCGTAGCCGCCCTCAAAGACGGTGTCAATCAGAGCGGCCGCCGTGCGACGGTAGACGTCGACGTTCGTTGCGGTCTCCCCAAAGACCTCGTCGAAAAAAAACCGGTGCGTGTGGGTGTACTTCGTGAGGTCCACCTTCTGCCGCGGCTCCGCAAGCACGAGCTCGTCAAGGCCATTTGTCGCGATCACGTCAGAGCAGCCCCGTTGTCCCTCCAAGAGGTTCAGCGGCCGCTTCCGCACCGCCACGACAATGCGGCTCTTGCGTCGCTTGATCTCACGACTGTCGGCGGACTTCGTCAAGACCGTCGTGCCCCGCGCCGTGTACAGCCGCTCGCGGCCCTCCTTCTCGTCCGAGAGCTCGTCTATGTCCGGCGTCGCCGTCGCCGGCCTGGGCCCCAGAGCGGGCACCAGCGGCGGGGCGTCCTCCGCGGCGGGCGGCTGGCCTCCGTCGTGCGTCTCGCGACGGAAGTGCTGGATCGCCTGGTACAGGTTTATCTTCTCCTCGTCATCGATGACGCCGTAGTCGCGGTACTTGTCTATCTGCAGCGCCTGGAACTCCGCACACGACACACCGGCGTCCATGAATCTCCCAAGCAGGTGGCCAAGTGAGTGATGTTCAAGCACCTCCAGCAGCTGCAGCTCCCACGAAGACATCTGCGTGCCGCGGCAGCCAGCGCATGCGCAGAGAAGGCGAGGAAAGGCAGACGCAAACGCGCACGAGGGAAAGGCAGAATATATATACACACACATATAGCTGGGGTGTGGGTGGGGCCAGCAGTGCCCACGCAAAGAAGGAAAGGAAAAAAAAACACACACACACCCACACAAACAAACAAACAAGAGAAGCAGGTTTGTTCCACTTCGTCCCACGAAGAGAGTATACAAAACAAAACAAAAAGTCGCCTGGAGGAATACCCGGAGGTCTCAACGCACCGCGGGGACCCCCCCTCCCTTCAGCAATGCCTCCGCCTCCCCTTCCCTCGCGCTTCTCTCCTCTCCTCTCCTCTCCTCTCCCTCCCTTGCCAACTGTGATTAGGCACGGCAGGGAGAGCCGGCGCAGCAGAACCAGCAAGGTGCCTCCCCGCCCCGCCTCCGCCTCCGCCTCCTCATTACCCCCCGCTTTGGTAGAACCGCAGCGCTCCGCAGCGCAACACCCCCCACCACCAAACGTCAGTTACTCTTCCGCCTGCCACCGCCGTGAGCGCAATCGCGGGAAGCGAAAACAGCAACAATAACAATAAAAAAAAGCGAAGCACGTCAGCATGCGTCCACGTCATGGTCATGGCCCGCTGCCGCCCTTTCCACCCTCGCTACTGTTCTCCGGGCCGGTGACGGCCTCGGCGCCCGTCAGCTCCTGCTTCTTTTGAAGCAGGGCCGCCTTCTTTGCCGCGATTGCCTCGCGCAGTTTCCGCAGCGTCGCCTCGCGCTGTTCGTTGATGCTTGCCCGCTCCTTCAACAGCTCCCCGCGCTTGCGTTCGAGCTCGCGCTTCTTGCGAAGCTCTAAAATCCGGCTCTGCAGCTCCGACTCCACGCCGCCCGTCGCCTCGCGCTGCTGCAGCGGGGTGAGGATGGTGCGGGCATGCTCCCAGACGACGTCCATCTTCAAACACCCCTCCTTGTACTTCAACTCATCAACCTGGTCGGAGTCGAGCTGCGCCACCTGCTCAATGGTCCAGATGTTGCGCTCAATCAACTTCTTGGTGGTGTGCGTGCCGCAGCAGTCCAGCCACGCGACGAAGGTGCCAGGGGTGACGTCCGGCGCACACTCCAGGTGGATCAACCACCAGCGGCGGTCCTCGTTGGTGACCCGGCCGCCCGTCGCGATGCCGCGCACGCACGTGGCGAGGCGCGGTGGCAGGGGCAGCACCGCGATCCTGCGCATCGTCGTCTGCCTGAGCGAAAGCGTCCCCTCTCCTTCTCTCCTTCTCTCTCTAGCTTTCGTTCTCGTTTATTTATTATTTATTTTTCCTTCGCTTTTCAGCGCGCACGGTGGCAGCAGGAGGCGAGGCCGAGAGTGCGCGGACCCAGCGAGAGCGAGGGGCAGGCAGGGCGGGCCGACCGCAACCGACCAAATAAACAATAACAACACGCACACAGACACACAGCAGCGTCATAGAAGGGGCGAAGAGATGCAGCAGACAAGAGAAAAACAGGGAGGGTGGATGCGGCACCAAGGACCTCCTCCTCCTCCTCCCAAAAGCAAGATAGCTGGAGAGAAGGAAAGAGAGATAACAATAATAATAAGAATAATACAAGCAAACACATCAAGAGAGCGCATTTTTGCGCCTTCCTCAGCCCACCCCCAGCAATTTGACTCGTTCACTCGTTTACTTTCTCAGTCGACAATTTCAGCTGCGACAGTTTCCACTTCTTCTTACATTTCATTCACCTGATTTTTCTCCTCCTCCTCCTCCTCCGCCGCCGCCTCCTCTTCCCACGGCATCAACGGAAAGTCCAGCCCCCCCCATGCGGAGTCAACGGCCTTCTTCGTCGGACTCGCTGAGGCCGCGTGGTGGGGCTCCGCGGCGTCTTCCTTCGCCTCGCCGGGCCTCACTGATTCCTCCGCCGTGGCGTCTTGCCCCGCGTGGGTGCCCCCGTTTTCAGTTTCCTGCGCCTCCTCGTCGCCGTCGCCCTCCCTCAGCTCACTTAATGGGGCGGTGTGTTTTGCCCTCCACTCCGCGTACGCGTCGAGCCGCTCCCGCAGCCGCTTTAAGACGGCACCCGTCAGTTGCAGCACCTCCTCCGACAAGTCCGTGCGCTTAAAGTAACCGTCTAACTGCTTCAGCTGCCCCTTACACGCCGTGGCCGCCGCCTCCACTAACATCTCGCCATACGGCGCATCGTCGGTGAGGTACTCCACCAGCATATCGGCTGTCTCCTGCGCCGCCTTCACGTGTTCGAGGACGGTCTTCTCGTCCACGGCTCGAATGGAGGACATGTCGCGCGCCTTCACTGCTGGGGGCGCGTTGAGCACCGTCAGTAGCATGCGTACCTGTTCATCATTCTTGCACAGACCTAGCGCCGCCACCTTCCAGAAGTAGTTGGCCCAAAACACCTCCTCCTTTATCTTACCAGGGACCAGGTTGTAGCGCTGCTGCCGCATTTCAGGCGGGGCCAAGAGGCCTGTGTGGACGTCGCGGTCGTAGTCAAACTGGGCGTGGGCGTTGGTAATGAGGCGCTGGTTGAGGCCGCACTGCAGCAGCAGGGCCTGCTCATCCTTCGAGAAGCCTCTGTTGGGGCCGTAGCGAAAGGTCCCCTCATCCTCCACGATTTGCTTCGCTATGAGGTGGCGCCACTCCTTCTCCCTACCGACCCAATTCTCCGGCACGTGGTCCCACGGCACGCTGAGCGTCTCCTCCTTCTCTACCCGCGTGCCGTACTCCTCCCGCGTGTCAGTATAGACCTTCGAAACCTTCCGCACCATCTTGTTCACCGAGTCTAAGACGGTGCCCCAGAGCCTGGAGACCGTCCTGTTCGCCCACTCCACCGCCACATTCACGCCGGTCTGTATGGTCACCTCCAGCAGCAGCGACATATCCTCCCCCTCCGCAAACTCGGGGTTGCCGAGGATCGTCGGGGGGATGAGCTCTGGGAAGGAGGCCTGCAGCTGCCCTGGCACAAGGGCGACCGTCTCCGTCTGCTCAATGTCGTGGATGCGGGACTCGTGCACGCGGTTCACCACACGGGCCGTGACGGAGCAGCCGCCCGGGTACGCCGTGTCGTCCCCAGCGGGGGGAGGGATCAGCTCGAGGACCAGCCCGATGTAGTCGTCCTCCTCCCGCTCCCTCGGCGCCATGCCGCTGATCAGCACGCAGCGGAACTGGTGCTTCTTCATCACGTGGTTTGGCGCCCAGAAGGGCAGGGAGCTCAGCTTGTTCTTGCGGTTGAGGTGCCGCAGGCCGCCGACGGCCCACCGATGCGTGCTCAACTCACTGGAAGGGTTTGACACAAGCTCGACGGAGGTCATGGCGTCGAAGTCAGGCGGAGGACACGCACGCAAGCACGCACGCAAGAAGACACGGAGTCCGGAGTGTTTTGTCTAACACCAACTGAAAGGCAAACAAACTGGCGACGGAAGGCAAAGCAACGGCGATGCGAGAGAGGCGCAGACGCACGCACGCAGTGCAAGATAAGACATGAAGCGGAAATAGATGGGGGATGCTGTGGCAATGCGGCAACTTTCGATTCAACAGCGGGCGCACGAAGCTCCCCAGAGCCAGCCCGCGGGCAACACAAGCAAAGGAGGAGTGAGGTGCGAGACGGAGGGGGAGGACAAGAATGCCTAGCAGAACGTTCGCCGTGTGTTTCTATTCCGATTTCTTTTCGTTTATATATATATATATATTTTCGTTCCCCACCCCCCGCTTCTCTGCCGTAACGCGCTCATACGAAGACGAATAGAAATACACACACACAGAGATAGAGAGATAGAGAGAGAAATAAACTTATCCAGTACAACTAAACGCCTGCAGACCTCTCGCAGATTTCGGCGCCCTCAATCGTGACATCTAGCAGCTTTACGCAGGCCTCCGACATCAGTTTAGACGCAAGATGATCCCGGAATGGAACTAGGAAAGATTCTTCCCGCATCGCCTTGTTGATGATTAAACCAACAGACAGCTCAGAGGCGCGAGCCTTGGCGGCGGCGGCGGTAGCCACCGCAATCCGCTCGTTTGGCGGCGTGGGCCCCACAGCCGCCAGGTACCGCTCTAGCTGCTCAAAGGGAATGCAGTAGCGCACCGTGAGCACCATGCGAACGTACCCGTCCGTTACCTGTATGGCCTCCACGGTGCAGTCCACCGCCTTTCCCTCGCCGTTCTCCTCAACGACGGCACGCGGTAACGTGAAGGCGCTAAAGAAGGTGGAGGGCGGGACGACCACGAGGCTTTTGCTGCTGTACAGAAAGTGGCCAACCACACACATGAGGGGGCGAAAGTGGTAGTACTGCAGCACGCCCTCATTCACGCCCCGCTCCTTGTCCATGGAGGTGGCCAAGATGGTCTTCCGGCGCGTCTCATACACAATTGTGACACAGCTCGGCTGCACGCGAAGAACGCAGCAGCGGTAGAGGCGTGCCAAGCAGCCTGCCCCAACGACCGCCACAGCAAGCGGCAGAAGCACCGCGCGAAGCCTCGACTCCGCGGGGGGCGCAAGCGCCAGCGGGGAGCTCATGCCTTGAAGGAAGTGTAGCTGTTGCCACACTGCGGCTGTGCAGGGACGAAGACGCAGCTCTCGGCTGCCTGGCTCCTAAGTCCTACGGCTGCAAGGGGAGGGGAGGGGAGGGGGAAAAAAATAATAACAATAATAGAGACAAGGCGCATGCAAAGGCATCGTCGGGCCAAAGTCGAAGACCTGCGACGTCGCTGCTGCCGCCGCCGCGAGGCGACCGAGCAAAAAAAAAAAAACAAAAACAAAAAACAAACAAACAAACAAAAAAAACGGGTGGAGTCGACGCAGCCCACAAATTTGCACGCAGAGAAAAGGACCATTTCTCTGGTGCCGCTCTCGCCGTCACGCAATGTGCGCCGGCGCGCGCGCGAGGGGCAAAACCCAAGAAAAGTTAAATCACGACGGGAGTCAAAAGCGGGAGGGGGGACGTGGAGGGACGTCGTGCAGACGAG